TTTTTTTTTCTGCTTTCCCTAATGGGTGCCCAGTCTTGTATTTCTCCTGTAAACGATGACTATACAGCGGGCTTCCACTCAAAGGCCTTATTCATTTCCTCTCTCCTTCCAGATTCCATAAGCCCTTGGTACAAGTTTCCAGAGCTTTTCTCTGGGATTAACAAGCTTAGTTATTTCACAAATGGAATAAATATTGCAGATTATTTTAAAAAAATAATTTTTAAAAAATCGTTCCCAGTAGCCATGTTTGGTTGATGGAGTGGAGCAGTAATCTGCAGGCTGCAGCTGTTCCTGTTGTTCTGCTGGGTTACCTCTCAAAGTAACCCAGAGAGATTGTTTCCAGAGAGGAATGTCCAGAACATAAGGAAAAACTTCCTAAATGGAAAATTACTTAGCTTTTTAAAATGAAGAAGAAAAAGAAAAACTGGCAGTGTTTCATAATCCTCGTAGGACTCTTTCAGCTCGTCAAAAGGTAAGAGATTTCTTACCTCAGGCATGCAGGGCACAGCTGGCTTGCTGTGCTTTTTAACATTATCACTGCATTCACCCAAACTAGGGGTGCTCTTTTTTTAATGGAAATGCCCCAAGATATTACCAAAAAAAAAAAGTGTACGTGAATAAAATATATATCAACTTTCTTTGTTCTGATTCGCTCCATGTTTCCCTTGCTGTTTAACAAATGCAGTGCCAACAGAAAGCCTGGTTTTGGTTAGGATGTTCAGAATGGAAGCTTTTAGTTTGAAGTTCTCGGAGGGACGGTGCTTCGCTGTAGTGAGCTTTCTGCAGCTCACTGGTAGATGTTACTGGCCTTTCCTCCAGTTTTGTAATGTCAAACTTGCAAGCCTGCATAGTGGCTAAGCAGCATTTTGGGATGGGGGAGGGAGTCAAGGGTTGTTGTAAACTTTAGGAGAAAACAGGAGCCAGTAATGTCATGGGACAAAGGCAGTGTAATGTCATGTGCAAGGCAAATAGGATGCTGGGATATAGGAACTTTCACCTGCAAAACTCATGATATAAGCTGTCTGCTTTTTATTTATGATTGGTCACGCTTCTGTTGGAGTAGTGTACCCACTTTGAGTGTTGTATTCCTAAAAAAGGTAGGAGCCATAGGGAAAATCCAGAGTAAAGTAACAAGAATAATGGCCCAAGCAAATATGACTTACAGTGAAAGGTTGGAAAGCCATTGTAGCATGCAGACTATCAAGCACGGTGAAGCATTGAAATAGATTTTTTTTTTTTTTCTCCAGGAAACCTGTGGGGCTCCAGTTAAGACCAGATTAGACAGAAGTCTGTCAAGAGTGATACAAAACCTTGCCTTTCTCAAGGAGGAGAGGAAAAAAAACTAAATCACAAGCATGTAGCTAGCTTAAGTTACCAAAGGGAGTTGCTTGAACTCCATGAGATGTTGTGCATAAAGCCACACCTAGAAGTAAATTTCAAATATAAGAACAGTTGGAAATACCTATTTTATTTTTTTTCCTTCAGGATTCTATTCTGGAAAAATAAACCCTTGAGGAGCACTGGAAAATGCAGAAGTTGTATCTTTCCACTGAAAGTTTGTTTTAAGGAAAATACAACTTCTTTTGCAGTGCATTCTTCTCTAGCTTGTGGGGATATTGTGGGGGGGGTGTGTGTGTTGGGCTTTTAGTTTTGTGCCACTTATCAGGATAGATTTTCCTCCAGAACTGATGATGAGAATTGTTTTTGCTCTTTGCTGACAAGGAACAGGTCCTGCCTTATTCGTGTCTGTAAGTGTAGTTCTGGGCAGTCATCTCCATTCAGTTTATTCTCCCAAAAGAACGTAATGGGAAGGAAGGAAGAAGAGCTTTTTAAGGTAGTTGGGAAATGAGAATCTATTTTTAGCTGTCCCTCCAGTTTCTTCTGGGAATCTTAATTTATGTCTGAAAAATTAAGACTAAGTGACGTAGAAAATAACAAGAGTTTCTTACTTTCTTTGATCAGGAAAGTTAATTGGTGTGCTAAAGGTAGAAAATGTTCTATGAGTATACAATAGTTACACAGAATATGTCAGATTTTCTTTACTGTTAATCACAAAATTTAATTTCCTTTTTTAAATACAAACAGCATCTGAAGCTGTAGCCGGTTTTCATTTGTGTCCAATGAAGACTTGGGCTTATTATGCATGAGATGTGAAAGCCATCTTGAGACATAAGACTTTAAAATAAGTTGTAAACTGCATTTTTAAACCTTTTTACATATGTAGCTAAACTAGTCTTGTCTATAAACTCATTATTGTAGAGTTTGAGTTCTTTGAGCATATAGCCATCTGTATATCCAAATGGATGAGATATTTATTTTTATTACTCATTTTGAAATTGGAATGTCAGAACAGAAGTTCAAGTCTCAGTATGCTTTTTTAAAAAAACCTACAAACATAACAGATGAACAGGGACTGAAAAGGCCTATCAGTCTTGAAAGCCAAAGCCAGCCCAGAAGTTGTGTTCTAGGTGTCCATGGCACCTTTGGTCCTTAGCAGTGCCTCCTGCTCCCCCAGGTATATTTTCTACTCCTAGAAGGTACAGTGTAAATGGAAGTAAATTGCATGTAAATGTGGCACAGGTGGCCAAGACCCATTTCATGTCATCTTCTTTATTTTAAATAATGGCAGTGTTTTTTCAGATGTCTCTAAAGTAGAAGGATTTCTGTAAAGGAAAGTGCAGAACAGCTTTTATTTGGTGAAAATATCTACAGTGTCAGTTATAGTTGATAGATATTTCATGTTAAGTCTAGCTTTAAATCTATACTAAATAGAATAATAAAATTATTTAACTCAGAAAGAAGACTCTCTAGGTTTTATAGCATGTGTGGTGGTGTGGTTCCTGAAATTCACTGCATAAAAATAAAAATGGTTAAATCCATTCGAGCTGAAAGACTTAGCATTCTGTTATACCTGAATGCTGGAATAGTAAAAATGTTGCATTACATTTATTTAGTACTAGCAGATACCACTGTGAATTATGTCATCAATGCGTACATTAAATAGATTAATTTCAAGACAGTATAAACCAGTAGACATCACAAAGAACAGGAAATTCTAAGAGTAAAATATCATAAACACATATAAAGCAAAAATATTTCTATGTTCTTTCACTCAGGTTTTTTGTGTGTGTGATTTAGGTGTGGAAAAAACAAGATACTTTGCACTCTCGAGTTTACTGTGTTAGCGAGGCTCTCATCACACAGCTGAGGATATGTTTCAGTAACTACGTGTTCTTTATCTGATTAAATATAATCTTACTAGTTAATCCCCAGCTTTGTAATTTAAAGAAACATTCTTTGGCTTGGAAGAAGCATTCAGCTTGGAACCTGAAACACTTATGTTTAACTGGAAGAGAATCTGAAATTCTGGACAGAAAATGCACATTCTGTAATAGCCAAACCTTTATTTTTTTATTATAGTAGTAATTAATCATGTAAACTGTTACATTTTATTGAAAAATGTCATATGAAAACTGATGCAATGCAAAAGATATCTATTGTATAAAATTCCTTGTCTGTTATTTAAAATACAGGTCACTATTTCTGTATATGCTATTTCGCTATGAAGAGTGCCAGCAGAGGGAGCACACATGAACTGCCAGTTCAGTACCTAGACTTTACGCAAGGTGCTGTTACTGGTGTAGTAAGGAAGGACAACACAAGCTTCAACATGGCTCTTTTTTTTTTTTTTTCTCCAAATGAAAGGAATTCTGTTTAGCAGGCATGATCAAATACGTAGGTCAAGGACTGTGTTTTCCAAAAGCTTAAGAATGCATTGTTAATAAGAAAGTTCACATTCAAAACCCTATTTGAATATATATATATTGAATGGTATTCTAATGCCTATAATCTGCAGCCATCTAAAATTATGATTCTTAGACATGCAATCTATACATGTCCTCTTATATCTTCTATGATATGAGTACAGCAACAAAGGTGAGTACAGGCGTAAGAGTTTGTAAAGTCATTTTCAAATTTTTAATTTTAGGGCAGCGGCAATGACTCTAAGAACAGTGTTGTTATCGCTGCAAGCATTGTTGGCAGCTGCAGAACCAGATGATCCACAAGATGCAGTAGTGGCAAACCAGGTGAGATACCCAGTTGGCTGTGAATTTGTACCACTTCTGTAACCTTTGCTAACTTAGATTAGGTCCCAAACCTTGGGGGACATAAAGATTTAAAGGAATTTATTGGAAAATTGCCCTAGAGTAAGTGTGAGTTACTATGGTGTTTTGTGCTCTTTACTCTTTGGATTCCAGAGTAAGTAGCAGTACAGTGTCAGGAGGTTTATTTTATTAGTTTTGTTCCTATTTAGCTTGTCAGAAATGTCAGGAGATAACAGCATAGATAAATGAATTCCAGTATAACTTGGCTTTTAAAATCTAAGGCTTCTAGTATAAGAAAAGCAATGTTGTATTGGTTCAAAATGAGATTTAACGTGATGGTGTTCATTGAATTTGGCTTGGTATGTAGCTCCTCTTCCAGATTAATATAAATATGGTTGAGCATCGTATTTGTTTAACATCAAAATTTTATGAATAGTGACTTTAATTACTGTTGCATTTAATCCTGAGGTGCGATTTATCTGAATGAAGTATCCTATGTATTTTACCTTTGCAAGTACTTGGGATAACTGTTTTAGTCACTGGTTGAATTGGTATCATTAGTATTCTATAATCAACAGGATTTGTTACTTTTCAGACAGTAGCAATAACTTATAAAAAGTAATAACAATAAAATGTCAGTTGTATCATGTGCCATACCAGGACTGATATGGTTCTATTTAAAGTGTTGTTGAAAGATAGAAACAGTCATTCCATAACTTCATAGTCTGACAATTTTCAACAAAGTCCAAAGTATGTGTGCGGTGTTTTCCTTTTTGCTCTGGGAAGAGAGAGAAGGCCTGGCTTCCCCAATGACTGATAGTACGGCTGGATTTCAGTAACAAAAGAACAAAGCAAAGAGAAGGTTCTTCCAACATCAGTCTCGTCTATATCTCCTGTAAGTCAGGACCCTCCAGGACAGGGTGACAAAGTGCGCACTCCTTCCCTATAAAATCTCTGTAGGATCATAAATTAGCAGTTTATCAAACCTGTCAGGATTTGGAGGGAAACATGAAGATCAGAGGTGGCCCATTGCACCACTGGGTGGGGGAGAGCTGTTTGCTACTACTGTACTCAGTAGTAAGGACAGAAGGTTTGCTTGTGGGATTTGGGATTCTGCAGTTCTGTAAGGCTGCTCTGAACAAATGTCCCTGAACAGTTCTGTCAGACTGAATTGCTCTACTCAGGAGCAATTGTTGCAAAGGCCAGCGAGGCCACCAGGCATGTCCCTGCACTGTTTTTTCTTGCCGGATGCATGCCCTTGCTGTCACATTCTCTCTTTATTAAACACCACCGCTTTTTCCTTTTTTACAAAGAACAAGAATAGTGTTTGTTTCCCATTCTGGCCCTAATGGTAGAATTTTGTGTGGGAATCGTAACGGTCTTCTAGAAGCACTCGAGCTGGAAAGAGTTTTTTCTCAGGCAAAGAACTTCCTGAAACTTTAGATTGTGAAGAGTGATTTTTCCACGCTGCCTCTCAGGTGCTTGTGTGGATGTGTCCAGTGGGAATGTGGCATGGCTGATGTGGGTAGGATTCAATTTCTCCTCTTCCCTGCAAATACCCGCATGAAAACTATACTGGGGTTTGGCCTTGAGTTACAAGCATGTGTATGTGAGTAGAAAGCGATTATAAGGTCTGAGAGATGTGGTGGTAAACACCCAGTTCCTTCATGCGTTTTATTTGGTGCTGGGGTCTTTTTTAGTTTGTTTGGGTTTTGGTTTGGTTGTGGTTTTTTTCCAAGACAAAAATTCACAAGGAAGTAGTTATCCTCTACACTCATTTTGCATTATTTTAATTTACGAAACTATGTGTTGGACTACTAAGCTGTCCAGGTAAATGGCAGTGTCCTACAAGCTCTTGAGCTGAATCCCAGGGAGAACACAGGGAGAACTCCTGTTTGAATAATGGCAGTATTTTCAGACACCAGCTGTCTGGTGTCAAAACTACTTCAACTAGTTGCTTTTTTTTTTTTATGTACAGCAACATAAACTGCCTCAGATTCCTGATATAGAGACATCAGTAAAAGGTGCCTTTAGGCTTTTCTCAATTCAGTAAGAAGCTAGATTATTTGCGGATACCTAAGTAAAGGAATTTTATTTATAGAACACTAAAAGCTAGTTCTGAATAAAATGCAGTTATGCAGTTATGACTAATTCTTTGCACTTCAGCTAGTTGCTTTCTAGGCTTGGCAGTGTTCTCAAAAATATTAAAAAAAAAAAAAAAAGTTGTGGGAAGATCTCTTAAGAGCAGAAGAATATACTACTTCAGGATGCTGCTGGTGCTTAACTTAATCCTTCCTCTTTTCTAGTCATTACAACCAAAGAAATTTATTACAGACTACTGTATTTATAACACAGTGCATTATTTCCAACAACAGATTGTCTCCTATGTTCTAATGCCATTAATAATTAGATAGTAAATACACAAATTACTTCATGTGGAGCAGAATTAGTGGGAGGTGTAAAAAGCACGGAATGCAGTGTAGTTTGTGTGTGTTGCTGTAGGAGAGGTAAAATGAAAGGTACAGCAGTAAAAAGTATTGTATTTACTTTGACAGTACTTTATAGATTTAATGATTGTTTTCATGTATGAATAGAATGATTAGAATGATAATCAGCCATGTTTCTATCCTGAAAATGCATCTAAATATTTGAATAATATCTTTCCCAATATCTCGTCTTATTATTTGGTGCTAGAAGTTATTATATATCAAAAGATGGGAATACCTACTTTTTTTTTAAAAGTGTAATGATTAAGGGAAAGATTTTTTTTTTTACATACAAAAAACTTAAACTTGATATTACATAGAAAAGTTGCTAAAATAGGAAACTCGTCTTGCCTTTCTGAGTACAGTTTATGACAGATGACCCACTTTCTTGGCTTTTGAGTTCTTGGTGTAGGCTGAAAACTGTCTGTGATAAGGTCCATTCTGTTATTTATTACAAAACTTGTTAGTGACGAGATTGGTGCTAAACAATATTTACATATCCTGCATGATGGGTGTTTTTTCTGGTGAATAATAGCTTGCATGAAAAAAGTTGTAGCTTCCTAGCTTTTTGCACATGCTCACCCATTTTTCAGCCCTTCTTTTGTCACATATGCTATCAATATCCTTGTTCTCAGAAGGAAGCCTGGTAGTAAAATGTCAGCCCTGACTGAAAAACTGCAGACCTACTTGCAGTGTATAAAACCAGGCATATTTTTAACTGATGAGAGAAATGCATTAGAGTAGTATGCAGTACATACATTCAGGAGATGTTAACATAGGGATAATTGGTGCTCTGTCACACTGAATATAAATTTTCAGTAGCTCTGCTAAATATAGCTACTTACTTTTGATCAGTGCAATTGAGAGCAGTACCTGATTGTACACATAAAATACCTGTAATGTGTAATTAAACCTAAAGGCAAATTCATTAGATCAACTGCTTGCATAGGCAAGCATATACTCTATGTGTAATCCTCACCTCTAAATTTCATTTCAAAAATAGCAGTATGATCAGTGTGAAACACTGTTGAAGATAGTGTAGAAAGAACGATAGATTGGAATCTGCCGTATCATCTTGCTTTTTGGTTGGATTGCTGAGCTGATTTAACTTTCCCTTTCTCCCCCCTCTCTCTTTTGTGTAGTACAAACAAAATCCAGAAATGTTTAAACAGACAGCTCGACTTTGGGCACATGTGTATGCTGGAGCACCAGTTTCTAGTCCAGAATACACCAAAAAAATAGAAAACCTTTGTGCTATGGGCTTTGATAGGGTAAGTATATATAACTAACTTAAAGATTTTTCAGTAGGGGCAGGGCAAGTATATGTGTATAAATGTAGGGAGTCATCAGTATACTGAAGTAGACTTGTTATTTCCGTGACATTTGTAGGACTAATAATTCTGTTTTACTAATTATTTTTAAGAATCAAAGTTTTCAAATACTATGTTATTAGTAAATCTCATGAGCTACCCTTGTCTTTTTTGAAATATTTTTTTCTGTAAATTATGATTTAGGATTTAACTAATGGTAAACTAGCAAGTTCTGATTAATCTGTGAACTTTTCATTCCACTTCTCAGCGCTGCAGGTTCACACACTGAAAATGTTATTGCTTTTGTTTTCTCATTGCAGAATGCAGTAATAGTGGCCTTGTCTTCAAAATCATGGGATGTAGAGACTGCAACAGAATTACTCCTGAGTAACTGAGCCATGTAGAGAGAGCTGCTTCAGTAGTCCAGCTTGCCCCTTCTGGAGGAGCATCACCATCTGTTATTTTTAGGATTCTATATAGATTCTCTTTTAAAACTGGCACTCTTGCCTGATGATGCTATCTAGGCACTATTGGAGACTGAAAAAAACCGCTCTGTAAATAAAGCTAATTAAACGTCTGTGTAAATTTAAAAAGGGGAAATACTTTAATTTTTTTTCTTACTAAATATTGTAAAAATCCTTTGAGCTCAGCTACAATAATGGGGGAAAAACATGCCTACTTTAGTGTTTAGCAGTGTGACGAAGACTAGCAGGAACTTGCTTCAGGATTTTGATTTAGTAATTCGGAAAGCAACATTTTTGAGTGTTAGTCATCAGAATTGTTGGTGCCACTCATCACAGCTATCTTACTGTTTTTAACATGGATCCTATGTGCCTGTGGATTGACCTATATTTGCATGCTTGTACTTAATAGACATATTAGGTAGGGTCGCTGAAGAGAGCACCATTGAAATACTCGAGTGTTCTTGTAACTTTTTTCCTGAAAGACTTTCAAGACTTCCCCAAAGTTCCGAATGGTGACCTATTCAGAACCGGTTTCTTTCTAGCTTATTAATTGGGAAACCTGATTCTCCTCTCCCTTACATCATGCAGCCAAAAATCCTCACTAGATTATGTTCCATCATCTGTGGGTATTACGTGTGCCATTTACAGTAGTCTAGGCTCCCCTTTAAAGAATATATTTTGAATTACCAGTAATGATTTTCATCCATCGTGTTTTCTACACAATCTTGTAAGGAGTATGCCTCGATATAGCACAAAAAGATGGAGCTGGTTTTCTTTCCTTTTTTTTTGTGTTAAATAGGTGTAAAATGTTCTTCAGTACATTCTGGACGATATGATTTCACTGGGTTTGAAGGAGGAGAAAGCTGTTCTCTGGCGTACTGAGAATTAAAAAATTTTTCTTTGAGTACTTGATACGATGCAATCAGCTGTTTTTTGCAGCGGTTTTCTAGCTTTATTTTGGGCTTCAATTTAGGGATCGCTTACCAGGTACTTTAAAATTCATCCTTGCTTGCGTTTTTCTCTAGTTGACACATGGAGGCTGTGTTGGTGTTTTTACTGTACATACTTCAAATGCACATAGAAGTAGAAGTGTGTTCTCAATTTAGCTTTCTTTTGGATTGATGTTTCTGATAAACGAGAACTGAAATCTTTCCTTGGCTTGTACATACAGTCAGTCCTTTTATTTGTATTAAAATGACATTTCATCCTGAGTGCAAAAGCTTGAAAATTATTAGTTTTGCAACTTCAAATGCTAGTACATCTATTTAAAGAGAGCTGTAATGTCTTTGTGAATACGATGCTAACTTTTGAGAATATATCTGACAAAGAAGCTCAGAGAAATCCTGAGACCAGAGAATGGGGATTGTGGATAATGGAGTACTGTATAAGTCATCTTTTCCATGACTCTTTTTTTTTTTTTTTTTTTCCCCCCCTCCTAAACAGCAGATTGATGGGGTGGGGAAATACATGTCTGTTTGGGATTTTTCTGAAGCTATGAAGTGCAAGTTGAAATAGTTTCACGCTTCATAGACAGTTTGTTTATAAATCATACTAGAGGAAATCAGGAACATTATTGTATCTGTTAAGTATTTGGAGCATAGTGGTAGGGGAACAGAACCAGAAAATAGAGCTGTAGAGACCTAGCTAGTTCAGGGACGTTCCCTGTGCTGCTCTGTCTCACGTGTCCAAACTTAAAATATTTCAGGGCACAGGCAGTAAATACTTTGAACTCATATCGGTGCAATACTAAATGCATTTGCTTAGTCTTTCTACTTACTGCTTTTTAAGGTGTAGTCAGTGATCAGTTTTCTTGGGTTTTCTTGAGTTAATGTAAATCATTTGCAATGATGCCAAAGGAAATGAGTTGTTTTGTCTTTCCTTGTATTTATTTATTTTTTTTTAACAAGAAGCTGCTACTGTTCAGCTGGTTTGTTAGGTGAAAACCAGGGACGGTAGGAAACTATGGCAAAATGCCACTTGTGTTAATCTCAAGTTGCTGTCTTTTCTGTTATACAGGCTAAGAATTTCTTGATTACATCAACACTTTTTTTTTTTTTTTTTACCCTGGTGGTAATTATGAATTGCTGACTACTTTCCCTTGTTCTTCGCTGCTATTTATCAAAAGAAAGAACTTGGAAATCATTGTCGGGGACATAAAACTTCTCAGTTATGGGCTTCTGAACGTGTCTTTTGATAAGATTAGTCTCCTAAGAACAGCAGGTTTTTTCAACAGTACACAAAGGGACAAAGGAAGCCAGGGAAAGGGGGAGGGGGAGAAAAGAGGAAACGGTTCTTAGGTGAGCACGGTCACCTCTGGAACAATGCCCTGTTAAGTTTTATTTCTCTCATGAAGTTACCTCATTTTCTTCTCTACTGCAAAACACTCGTCTTCCCCTTTCCCCTAATGTATAGATGTTGGATACTGGTTTTTGCCCTCCATCCGTGTGCTTGGTAGCAAAGATAGTTTGATGCTAGCTCAGATGGTGGCAGGAGGGAAGCTTCTCCAGAACTGGGCTGGGAAGGAAACATGACCCGGCATTAGGGAGACATCTGTGGTCTGAAGTCCCTCTGAATTTTGACATGCGAGTCCTTTATGAGGAATGTTTTTGTATTCTTGGTAATTACCAGAGTTGAATATAGGGATAATGTTGTACAAGGTTAGTTTAACTGCAGCTGGGGCTGAGCCCTAGGAATTTTGCTGTTAGTGTTCAGTTTATCATTGTGAGTTTGTACATACAAATGGTAGTTCTGTTTTCTGTATGACTGAACATCGCTATATTCAGGGCCCTGTGCATTCACAGACGTGGAGTTGCCACGCAGTCCGCTCCGGCTGCTCATTTACCACTTTCTTACAACAAAACAAGAACATAAAACATGGGTACAGTTGCTTTCTAAGTACAAATAAATCTGGCATTGTCTTCCTCTATTGTGTAAGACGACAGCTTGAAACAGTAATTTTGAAGTCTTAAATGGCCCCGTTTTTCCAAACAAGGTATTGGTAACGAAGCTTACTGATTGCCAGAGCATCAATCAGATTTCACTGCTGAATGTTTTAACGTGCATTGAGCAAAGTGGTTTATTCCTTGTTTGTTTTGTTGGTGGGGAACAAGAAACTCCTTTCTCGTCCAGTTCCTCAAAAAGTAAACTGCAGCTTTGCGCAAATGTAGAGAAATGCCCTTTCCTGTTGCCAAAAACCTCCGTTTACCCATGAGTGCCAAAAGCCTTGACTATATCCCACCCCACTCGCCAAATTCACAGCTTCCTCCCATTGCTTCTGTGAACAAGCTGTGTTCTCAGTGTGACAAACTGGTACATTTTGGAGACAAAAACTTAGGAACATATCCTTCTGGAAAGATGCTGCATATTCCAAACTTAAATATTTAAAAAAAAAATAATAAAACCACAAAAAAACCCTTGCCACAGAGTACATGGGGCCTTGACTATAATTGGTTCGGTAGTATTTATCCGAGCGATTAGGTACTAATGGTGTAGGAATATGTCTTGGTTGTTTTTTTTTTTTTAAATTATTATTGTATTTAACTGTTTTCCAAGTAAATTACTATTGGAACACTTACATGTGGAATATAGGATTTTTTTGTTGTTGTTGTCTGAAAGGAGGAATTAAATAGCCAGAAAGAAGCTTACCTTGTAACGCCAAATCTGCATTATATGGTGTGGGTAACAGAAACATTTAAACTATGCAAATTTAAGCTTAACAGCTGTGAATCAGACTAGGCACTTCAGAGCATATGGATTGCTTATTTAATGGGGGAAAGGAGAAGGGGAGGGGGGTGGAAATCAAACCACGGTTTCCAGCAAGAGTTCTTGTTTACTGCATTGGTCATATACTGTGAAGGTGAAGTGTTCCCTTTTCAGCGCAAGGGGAAACCGAACCGTGTGCGTGTCCCTCGTTTCCTTCCTAAACACCAACAAAAGCTGGCTTAGACTTGGAGGCTTGCCTAGAGGGGGAAATGTTAAATAATTTAGCAGTGAAAGTTAGTTTTCCTTTAATGTCTGCTGATGAGCAGAGGCAAGGAGAAGATGAGGTGTCCTCTCCTGCTATGTTTTGTTGATAGAGTTGATGAGAAGCATCACGATGAGATGAGCCTGGCTGCTGATTTGCGATCAGGTGGTTGGCTTTGTGTGGTTTTGATGAGCAGTCGACTCAACAATAGATAGCCAAAGCGCATCTCATCGTGCCGTCTGTTGCGTCACAGAACTGAAGTGTGGAAGTCAAGATGCTCATTTGGTGCCTAAAGCTTTTTTTTTTTTTTTTCTGGGAAGACCGCATAGATGTTTTCACTGTTACTGTCCTCATTTTCCAGGCACAGCTTCCTCCTATGGCTAGGCAAAGGGGCAATCGCTTCCTGCTTGATAGTTTTCTGATCTATTCCAAACCCATCGGTAAATCATGTAGCTTGCTCTTCCCTTTGGTGGTGTTAGCGTCATCAGCTGATTCATCGTTAGACTCACAAGACCGGCTGTCCTTAACGCATTTTGCTTCTTGCTCGGTTATCCGGCCGCAGTGCTCTGTAGGTAGCAACTCGACTTCAGATTTGTTCTCACTGGACAAACCCTGGCAAATCATTTGCACTGTACTGTGATGTGATGTTCCTTCTCTGCTGTTACCTGCTTTGTAGGCATCAGAATAGCTAGCCGATCGCTTATGGTGCTGAGCCGTTCGTTGATAATGTCAGTTAAGAGATCTGACTCAACAGACGAGGAAATGTACTGTGAAAATGCTGTACTTGTCCGTCTTACGATTTGCGGCAACTGCTGGTGCTCTGTCGTGGTGTCTGAAGGAGGCTGCCATCATACGAATGCTGATGTCAACTGTTGAAGAACCCTGCTTTTCACTCTACCTTTGCCATCCTAAATCCTGACTTTTCTAATTAATAAAAAAAAAAAAAAGAAAAAAAATTACCAATAAAGAAAAAAATATTGCGGGAGGTTGGTTCCTGAGCATCAGCCTTCCTGTACAGGAGCAGCGGGTGGGCTGGAATGCAGCATCAGTGTTTTTTGTCTTGAAAATAAAAACTACACAAACACTTTTGTACACGAAATGATTTTTTAATAAACACACATTTTAAAAGATGTTGATTTTCACTGGGAATGCTTAACAATAAATG